AACAATCTATATATAATATTGATAGTTTATACTAAATTATTATAGAGATTGCTAAGAGACTAGTAGCTTTTTTGTTTGGTACTGCAGTAATAGTGCTTTGAACTTCATATATTTCAATATAGACTAGAAGTGTATCTTTAGTAACTTTGAAAATTGGTTTGTAGTATTGTTTCTATTTTTGCTATAGTATATTATTATAGAGATTCGATTTGGTCTAATTATAAAAATGTTAAATAGTTGCTTTTATAATTTTTTGAAGATAAATCAAAATAGAAGAAAATATTAGAATATTGTAAAAGATTACAAGAATGTAATTTCTATAAAAAATACTATTAATCATCTTAATAGTATGTTAGAAGTTGATATAGTACTAATTGATAAAGATTTGAATTTGTTTTTTTTTAAATTATTGTTTTCAATATTTTTTGCATTATGTAAAGTTTTTTGTAGTTGTATAAGTTGGGCTTTAGTGGTTAAAAAGATATGAGTTGCAAAGTCTTGGGCTGTTAGAGTTTGGTTAGTAATTTGAATAAGTATATTTATTTTATTAAGAAGTTGATTAATAGTAAGTATTAAGTATTATAAGTAAAAGAAAATAAGCTGAAAAAGTATTAGCAAGATATAATTAATATATTTTAATATATAATATACTGTAGTAAGTATGCATAAATATATATAGGCTAATAAAGGTATTAGAATAAATTTATCTACAGCTTATTTAACTATATTGTTGAAATTGTTAAAAGTTTTGTTTAGTTGTTTGGTATTAATAATCTGGTTTTAGTAATAGATAGTAGCTCTTAAGTAAGTAATTATAAAAAAAGCAAAATTATTTTATATTTTTGAGTTATATAATTATAGTTGTAGATTTTGCAATATTGTTTATTTTGTTATAATTGTTTGTAAATTGGTGTAGTATGCTAGAATATAGTAATAATTTGATAATTACTATTAGTAATAGCAAAGAGTTAGTGATCAAGAGAGTATAAAAGGCAAGTGCTATTTTAAAATTAACCCAAATATTATTAATTTGGCTATAAGAGTAGTTTTGCTTCAAGTAGGGTTAGTAATATAGTATAATTGTAATAGACTAATTAATTTAGTATTGATAAGATATTAGAAAAAAAGGTTGTACTTATAGTAGTTGTTCTAATTAGTATTGCAGTTAAAGTCTTTTGCAATGATTAGGTTCATATTGCAAGACTAAGTATTTTAAGTTCAGAAAATTAATTGTTGTTAGGCAATACAAGTATATAATATTAAAAGAAGGTATACTACAATAAGTCAAGTTTTATTGTTAGCTAAGAGATAGAGATCTATTAGAAAGACAATGCCAGAGAGTGAGTATATTTTGTATATATAAGGTTATAGTATAGATTTAAATGCTATTGTAACTTCTTTGCTAGATTTTTAGATATTTGTATTAGTTGTAATTTGCTATATAAATTTTATAAAAAAAGTTAAAGAAAAATATGGAGTTATTGGTAGATATAGCAAGTTTTGTTTTAGTGAAAAAAGCTATATCAATTTTATTAAAGTTATAGTATTTAAAAAGAAATTGTAGTTTTAATATTTGGTTAAGACCCTATATACTGTATTGTAATTTAGAATATTTAAAATAGATATAGTAAAGTATTTGTGTTTAAAGTTGGATTAAGTATTTGAGTTATTAGTAAAGAACTATGTAATAAATAATTGCTATTACTTATTGTTAAAGTTAGTAGGTATTATAGAGATAAGAGTTTTAACTAAGTAGATATTAAAATATAGGTTAATGAGAATATAGTTGTTAAAAATTTGCTATTCTGGCTCAAAAAGATCAAAAAGGTTAAGTAAATATTCTGGTATTAAATTGAAGAAGAAGTAAGATTTAAGTTTAATAATAATATCTAAAACTGCAGACCTATTGATAATAGATACAAGTTGTATAAAAGTTAGATTGATATAGTGTAGTTGTTAAGTTAATTTTTTTAAATGATTTGGTAGTTAAAAGTAGTCTTTGGCATTGATCTTTGATAGAATTTTAATTTAGCCAGATAATATTTTAGAAAAAAAATAATAATTTCTCAGTTTATAAGATAGATTAACAAGTTGTTTGGCTAATATAATAGAGATTATAATGTTTATTTAAATAATTTGAGTTGGATTATTTAAGAAGTTAGACTTGTTTGTCAGATTGACTTTTATATATTAAGTTGAAAGAGTAAAAGTGTATCTTTAAAGGTTTCCAATTTTAGCTAAAAAGTTTTTTGCAATTTCTTGATTTTTAATAAAAAAGATATATAGTATAATTTGTCAAAACTAATATATATAGTAAACCAAATTTGTATATAGTTTTAACAAATTATTAGGTTTGAAGAGTAAAATTACTATATTTAATTAAGAAATTGTCATAAACTCTTCCTAATAATTTCTTAGACCAACTTTTTCAAACAAAATTTTTGGCAAAAAACAGTAGAACTATATTAAAGAAGAAGAACATAAGACTGACAAGAACTATAACCAGTACCTGTTATTTAGAGATAGTTCTTATATACTATTTGCTAATAGGTTTAGAGCTTATTACTCACCGTGAGAATAGCACTTGTTATTTAGAAGTAGTTCTTATATACTACTTGTTAACAAGTTCAGAGTTTATCACTTACCAAAAAAAATATTAGCAGTATGCTTAGATCTACTTGTCTTATTGTTTTTGAAGAAATATATACTCTCTTAAAAAAAATACAAAGTCTATATTTTTTATCATCACTCACTTGTACTTACAACAAAATTTTTGAAAAAAGTGGGCAAAACAGCTTATTTCTGTTAAAAGATCAACATTGTTTACTTTTTCTAAATTCAGACAAACTAGTAGATTGCAATCATATATTTTTTAGATAAACAAACATGTTGCTACTCTATATGACTTTCAAGAACCAAAGTTAATATGACAACTGATAAGAGGTGTAGAGTTGACAATTAATCTTAGCTTAGTTTTACTTTGCATTTAGAAATATAGAAATATTGCATTTGTTATATAATTTTTTCAAGCCTAGTATAGGTTATAATAGTATAATTTGTCTTTATTATATTTTTGTTTTTTTATGCTACTTGATAGTAGCACTTTTGTTAGCTAGTTTTAGACTTTGCTCTTTGTTTTCTTTTTTTTACAATTTATTAGTCCTTTATTATTATTTCTTTATAACTTTCTCTTTTGTATTATTTGTTTTTTTATATGTTACTCATTTTCTTTGTAATATTTGTTTTGTATATTTAGTACAGAACTTTTTTCTCTTTTGATCTTGGTAGAGAAATGAATTTGAGGAGTTTAAGTTTGAGATGAGCTAACAAGGTCTTACAATTTATCTTGATATTAGTATAATAAGTCATAGCTAGATATATATATATTATACAACCAGGTGATGTCAAACTTGCAATCTCAGATATATAGTCTAGTATTTAGAAAGATTATTTAATCTAATTATTGTAATAAATTTGTAATAAAGTTTTGACAAGACTATTAAAGTTAAAAAAAAAAAAAAAAAAAAAAAAAAAAAAAAAAAAAAAAATTAAGAAATTGTAGATTAATTTTTTATTAGTTTTGGCAAATTATTTATTTTAATAGTATTAGTTTTAACAGATTATACTGTAGTTAATTTTGGTTTTAATTGAGGTTGGGTTAGCAGATAGTTTAGATTTTTATATAATATAATTGCTAGGTAGATACTTAAAGCTATAATGAGGTTAAAAAAGATTAGCAAAGTATTTGATATTATATTGATCATTAGGTTTGCAAAAAAAGACCTCTTTTAGATTATATAGAAGATATTGTAATAATATAGAAAAGAGAGTTTGAGTGCAGATAAGTTGAAGTAGAAAGATAGGATTTCTTTAACCTTATAAATTATTAAAAGTTTTGCTTAATAGTATAATAGATAGGAGAAAGTAGATTAGCTTGTAATTAAGAATAAATTATATATAATTCAGATAAGTTGTCTAGAAGTAGTATAAGTTGTTTTTTTAAAGTAGCTATTAAATAGTTTGTCAAAGTTGTACAATTTGTGCAATGTAGCTATAATGTCTTTAGTATATTTACAATTATTAATTAGTAGCTTGAAAGGCAAGATAAATTAAATATCTTGAGAAATTTTAAATAGTAGCTCTGGAAATAAAGTAAATATTGCTAATAAAACTATACAAATTAGATAGCGAGTATCTTTGAAGATAGTTGGTAAGTTGATATATACAAAATTAGTGTAGTAGTAGTAGTATAGGTAGGAATTTTTTTTTTTTTAAACTTCAGCAATCTTGCCAATTGCTTTATTAGGTATTGTAAATTTTTATATCTTAAATACAAAATTTTTAGGTAGCTAATCTATCTAATACCTAAATTATAAGTATTAACTCACCTGGTTGTTCAATAAGTACCCATGTGCGATCTGCTATAACAAGTATTTACCTCTATACTAGTTAACTTTATCTTAGACTAATTAGTATATCAACAGATAGCACTTGTAGCTCATCAAGACTGTCTACTTTTCCTTCTAATTTTTCTTTCTTCTCAAAGGGTATGAGACAAAAAAAAAGAAGAGTAAATAAAATCAAAACAAAAAAATAAAAGAAAAAGAAAAAACAAAAAAAAAGAAAGAAAAAAAGCACAAATTTTGAAAAAAGAAAAACTTAAAAAAAAAGAAAACAGAATTGATGCATATTTATGTAGTGATCCTGGCCAAAATTAAAAAAATTGGCTAAGCTAATTTTTCAACCTGGTTGGTCAATTTTTTCTAAAATCGGCTAGCTGATTTTATAAGTAAAAATTTTTTTTCTCAAAACGAATGACTTATTCACAAATAATAAAGGTCAGTAATTGCATTTAATTTTGCTTACAATACACTTGACTTTATTGTATACAATTGTTTAATAACCATATTTAATTTTGTTTACAATACTTTTTAACAGACTTTTCTACTAGCAGTAAAATATATACTGTTCAGTTTGATGATAGATAAGAATTTATTTATTTAAAAATTTTGAAATTTCATTCTAAATCGGGGTAAGGGTTAAAACAGTGTTGATTTTCTTTTAAGAAAAGCAGATCATGAACCATGTTGGAATGAAGATGGCTTCATTTATCAGTAATTGTGTTTTTAGCGTCAGAAAACAAATGCTTAGATGGAACAGAAGTTCCAGGAATACATAATAACTGTTGTGTTTGGCATGCTATTAAAAGAAGACTTGATTTGTTATCATGCCAAAAGGTTAGTGGGTTATTTTTTTTATATAGAAAATCAGAAAGATCATACTTAGCCATTTTAGGCATATTAAAATAAATTTTTAGTTTAGTTTCAACAGGGCACAACTGGTGGGTAGTTTCTTCAAATAGTGAGCTTAATAGGGAAGTAGATAAATTATTGTTAGGTAAAGAATAATTATTATTTTCTATATATTTTATCATTCTGCATTTTAATTCATTTTTTGTTGATTCAAATTTTGCCAGCTCAAAACCTAAGTCTTTAAATCTTGGATCCAACATAGCTACAACATATCCTTCTGGCCCAGGTTCTTCCCAACATTCACCAAATGACAGCTCAATTTCATCACATATATCACGAATAATTGGGTGTGTGAAAGTTTCTTCTTTTTGATATAAGTGTTCTTGCAAAATTCTAACTAATGATAACATCATTGAAAGAGTAGGGTAATAGTCTCCATCTACTATAGTTGTAACATGTGCAAATGGACCTAACAATTCAACCAACTCCTGGATTCCTAGCAAATCATCATCATCAAGAAGTAGCTTTTCAAGTACTTTAGCATTATTTCTAACATCTCTTTCTTTATCTTTTGCAAGATCTTTTTGAAGCCTTTTTATTGCTTCATAAAGTACAAGTAGCCAACTTAGTAAGAGATATGTGGAATTCCACCTGGTTGCAACATCATTTGAAATTGGATCCAAAACTGAAGCATCTTTATTATTGATTAATGAGTTTTTTGCTTTAGATATTTCAAGTTGTATTGACCGTAATTTTTCTCTATATTTGTCTTTTCCAGCAACAAATGCGTTTAGATCTTTGGCACGATTTATTAGATCAGCTGCATACTTTAAACCATCTCTAACTCCAAGCTGAATGGTATGAGTGGTGCATCGAATACCAATATCTTTTAAAGCTTTTACCATTGAGCTAGCATTGTCAGTTACGCCTGCTACACATTTGTCACTTAAATTCCATTTAACTAATTCTCTTCTTAAACAATCTTCAATATGTTCAGATGTATGCGGGTATGAAAAACTTTCAATTGTAAGTAAGGCCTTATGCATTTTAAATTCTGAAGAAAGCCATGCGCATGGCGACATCTCTCGCACAATCAGTACGGATATTATCTTCTCTAAAGTAAAAGCCAGAAACACCTCCTACGCTTTTTATGCATTCAGCACAGAGACATCTATTATAGAATCAGTACGGATATTATCTCCACAAGGAACACGTACTACGCTTCATGTACTCAGCGTAGAGACATCTCTCATACATATGAATACGGATACTATACACAAGGCAATATATGCTGTTTTGCAAATATTATTGGCCTTCGCTAGTTAGTAAATAATAAATAACTTTATCTTCAGCTATCCTTCCAAATGTTTAAGGCGTAGCTGTGCAACATGATCAAGGGGTTTTCGGGTAGGTGTGTATCATTCTGCATTCTTTTGGAAGATAAAATTGATGGTTCGTTGACTATTGAGTTCACGGCAGATTTCGAACCACTAAATGCCTTTTTTCATCTTTAGCCCTCGTGATAACAAATTCCAACTTTAAATTGTCCTTTCGAATTGCCATTCTTTAGAAGATTTCAAAAGCAACTCAAATGTCTCTTTTTATCAAACTTTAAATACCACTCAACCGATTTTTTTTCATCCTTCGCTGCCTATGACAGAATCCAACATTAAATTGTCCTTTAAAATCTATCCTTGGCAGGTTCCAAATACCACTCAAACGCTTTTTCATCCTTGACCTGCCTATGCTTACGTCATAGCAATATCCAATCTGCAAAAGAACACACCAGGCTTTAAAATTATCAAGTATCTCTCTACTTCAGATCTTAAAAGAGGTTATTAGTGAAGAGAGCACGTAGTATTTTTCTTGCATTAAATCAAGGTCGGAAATCTTCGTAGACATTACCAGATATAATGATTATCTGTAGCTAATAAGAGCATGACTGACTTTCATATGATTGGCTAACAGATATCGTTAAAATATATATATATATTACGATCTATAAGTTATCTACAAATTCGAAACAATGTCCAATATTCTCGCCGTTGATTTCAAATATACTGAGCGTATTGCTCTCAAAACTACCCTTAGAGATTATATTTCATATTCTTATGATGAACATCCAGATATATACACTGACGATTTACGCATTCTTGACGAACTTAGGACTGATTGTTTGAATTTGGAGGTACACCAAAATGCACTATATCGGCTATTAAAGTGGGTTACCTGACTTTTTTTTTTTGTTCTCACTGAAGAGAGAAACATGGATCCAAAACGTGTTCAAATGACTAAATCTTATCCTTCAGATATTATGGGCAACTAGTTTTCATTGGATCTAAATTTCCAATTGACGTAGGTTAAATGATGTCTTAAATATAGTTTGTTTTTTTTTTTTTTTATTAAACTTTATACTTTTCATAGGTAGGCATAGAATTTCCTTGGTATTCAGCCTTTCCAAATAATGAAAAAAAGCCTGGTGTGTTTTATCATTCGCATTATACGTGAAAGAATAATTTTGTGAAAAGATTAAATTTTTTTCTTTCATATTAGTTTCGCATAAAAATTTTTACTATGAGAGAGCCTGTGTACTATTTAATATTGGTGCCATGTATAGCAAGCTTGGCGTCTCAGAAAGCAGACTAACTCCTGAAGGTGTCAAAAGAGCTTGTCAATACTTCCAAGTAATTTTATTTATTTTGTTTATTTTTCTTAAAAACCATTGTAAGAATCATTTTTTGAAAATAAATTAAATTTAGAACTCGGCTGGTTGTTTCAAGCATTTGGACAGTTTGGTAATACCAGAAATGAGAATACCACCAACATTGGACATGTCATCTACGACTTTAAATGTTCTTGTTAACATTATGTTAGCGCAGGCTCAAGAATGTTTTTGGCAAAAAGCTGTATATGGTGAATAGATATCGTGTATTCCTTCTCATTTCTATCAAAATTATTCATTATTTAATTTATTCATTATTTATTCCTAATTGACTCTTCGATTAAGAAAAATTAAAGGATGGAAATGTAGCAAAACTAGCAAGTCAAGTATCTGCATATTACGAAGCAGCATTTGAATTAGCAACAAATAATCCAGAAGTTTCAAAGATATTAGGCCAAGTATGGTATAATACTTATTAAATGGTTATTTCATTTTTTAAACTTTTAAATCCATTTATCCTATATTATTTATAGAACTGGCTCACACATTTGCAAGTAAAATCGTGGCATTTTGCCGCAGCCTCGGAATTTCGCAAATCTTGTGAATGTATTAGTCAAAATAAGTATGGGGAAGAAATTGCGAGATTGCGAGTAGCTGAAGGATACGTGAATCGAGCATTTGAACAACGTAAACATTTAAGAGAAGCTGTAATAAAAGATTTAGAGGTTAGATTAATAAATTGACAAGCAAATTTTTATGCAGTACATTTATTATGAATAATGTTTAACATTCAATATATTATTATTTTAGTCATTGCATACAGTTGTTACTTCAAATCTAAGCCGTGCTTTGAAAGATAATGATATTATATATTTAAATACTATTCCTTCAGCTTCATCATTGGCTCCAATTGGCCGGGCAAGCCTGGCTAATCCAACACTTCCTCCGGAAGTTAATGATCCAATTTCTTTGATGAGTGAAAGATCTATTTTGGGTCTTCCATTGTTTGTAAAACTTGTCCCTTTTGCAGTTCATCAGGCTCACAGCGTATATTCTGATCGTAGAGAAAGATTGGTAAAGGAGGAAATCTTATTTAAATTGCACGAACTAACAAGCATCTGTGACAGGTTTGAAGAAGTTGTTAAAGTGAAATTATTGTCTAAATAACTGAAATAACTAACAATTCAATGATTTTAGTACACTAAGGTCTCTAAATTTGCCTTCTTCATCACTGGATACAGAAGACCACCAGATAATTCCACAATCAATATTGGAAAATTCACAGGATGTTCGCAATGAAGGTGGGATAACAAGGTTGAATGCAATGTTCGATAGCATACAAGATGCATCACCAAATAATACTCAAATTTTAGATGAGGTTGGTTTTTAACTCAATAATTGTTAAAAAATAAGAGAATTTACGATCAAATTTGTTATATGTAGGCATTAAACATTTTAGATCAAGAAGCCATGGAAAATGAAGAGTGGGAAAAGAAGTTTGGAGAAAGATGGACAAGAAAGAAATCTCTTGTAGTCAATAAAGATTTGGTGGATCTAATTACAAAGCATCAACAGGTTCTTCAACAGGCACTCAAAGGTGACTTGGCAATCCAAAATAAATTAGAGCAATGGAGCCAACCCATTGAATTATTAGGTTCTGATCGGGTAAATATTTTCATTAAATTTTTTAATTTTTTTTACTTTATTGCTTAATTTTTATTATTTATTAATTAATTATCTTAAATAGGAAATTTTAAAAAAAACAATTCTGTCAAGTAGCACCTTTGATGCATCGACACAATCGGATATTAAAAATCGTGAAAATGAATTACGAAATCTTGTAAACGAGGCTCGTGCTAATATTGGAGAGCGTAATAAAACTATTGAAGAAGTTAAAAAAATTTCAAATCTAGATGATATAGGTATCCATATCGAAAAATTACAAGTTTAAAACAAAATTACTGCAATAGTTTTTCGGCTTAACATAATTTATTAAAAACTTTAGGTCCTAAGTTACTCAAAGAGGCTGCAAAAATTACCGCCAATGGCACTGCAATAAAAATCGAGCCGGCACATTTTGAGGAACTATTCATTGAAGAGATGAAAAAATATGATAACTTTTTGGTATTTGTGCAGCGGGAAACTGAAAATCAAGAAAAATTATTGAACCAAATTGATGTACATATTTAAATGCAGTATCTTTTGTTCCTTCAATGAAATTTTTTTTTAATAAAATAAATGTACAATTATTAGGGAAAATATCGGGAGTTAACAGAAAAACGTAAGAGGGCAATGAATAACCCTGGAAGGACAGAAACAATTGAAAAATTTAAAATGGCTTATCAAAAATTCAGAGAGATATTATTAAACTTACAAGAAGGAATCAAAGTATATATTTAGTATATATTTTATATATTTATTTTGCATTTATGAATCTTTTCTTAACCAATTTTATATTCTAGTTTTATCATAATTTAGAAATCACTTTGCGAGATTACCAAAAAAAATGCCAAGAATTTGCAACCTATCGCCATAAAGAAGGATATGAACTTGTTCGGTAAGAACGCCTTAGCTAGATTAAGCTTTTATAAATATGTTCGAATCTAATAGACATGTTTTCTCAGTAAATTGACATCTAGTACTATTGATAAGGCTTGGAATAGTACTACTCCTATAGTTTACTCTTCACAGTCTAATTTACAACAATCTTCACAATCTCCAAGGACAAGTGGAGTGTGGAACCCAGATAAGAATATCAAATTTTCACGTAATGCAGGTAGTTCATGATATCACTATAGAAATGCCGATCGTATGGGCTGAGTGCTGCAAAAAAGGGAAAATTAATAAATTTTAACAAATTTTCAATTTTTTTTTTTTTTACACAAATTAACCTAGAATAAGATTAGGATCATTTTTTACTTAAAACACAAAAGCAGTTGTATTAATAAAATTTTGTAGTATAGCTCTTTAAAGTTTGTATTTTTTTATAATTTATTATAAAATTTATAATATAAAAATTGATTTTTTGAAAATTTTTTGATTTTTTTTTTTCTTTTGCAGTATTTAGCTTATATGTTTTTAGGCATTTTTTTTATACTCAAATAATATAATATTATATGTTAACTGGCCAATTAAACTATGGTTCAAAAAATTAAAACTTTAATTATATTATAGTAATATAAAACAGATATTTATTAATAAAATATTTTTTAAAATTTTAAAATTATATAAAAATATTATAATAAACAATTTTAGTCCTTAAGTGCATTGCTTCAATAATGGTTCAACGCAATATGTTATTTAATTCGATTAATTGTAATTTTTTGGAAATGATAAAAGGAAATTATGGTTTCACGGATTTGGTTGTGTTTTTAAAATTTATTCTCAAGTATCCTCATTTTCTTGATCGTGTGTCTCTTGTGTGTTGTAACGTGCTGTGCTTTTTGATCTTGATCATCCGCTTCGTTTACTACTCTCTGAATTAATGTATTTATAAAAAAAAATTTATGCATAGAATGTAAGACGATATCTTTGTTGTATTACAGATTTGTTAATTCAAATTGTGTAGTACTGCACATTTTAACTATGTATTGTATGATATTTTTGAAAATGTCATCATTACATAAAAATTAATTTACAAACATTATTTCGATAATAAATTTTAATACTTTTATTTGCTTTGTTAACCTCGAGGATAGGGATGTTAATCGGTCCTTTGGGATCGAATCCTAACCGGTCCGGTCCGATCCTTCAAAGATCAGTAGGGATTCGATCCTTAAATCACATGAAAACACAATACATTTTATAAGACTTAAATCCTGAATTGAGTTATTGTAACAATACAAAATTAATTTGATTGGATGGACTTATCGATGGATTCAATTCAAGATTTGATACAGGATCTAAATGTTTTATGTTTTCATGTGATTTAAGGACCGAATCCAGGACCGTCTTTTTAGATCCTAGGATTGGATTCGCAATTTAACATCCCTACTCGAGGATATAAAAAACATATATATATATATACGTATAATTATTAAAAAACTTGACCTGTTTAATAAATTAAAATTTATATGTTATTAATTATAATTATTGTTATCATGAAATTCATAAAATCAATAAACTTATATTGGTTAACCAACAATTATAATATTGATTATGATTGACAAAAACATTTTGTTTTAATTTTCTATCTTGAAATTGTAATATAAACTTATTTTATTAATTTGCTTATTCATTAGATTGCATAATTCTAAAGAATGTATATGTTTGCTATGATTGTAAAAAAAGGTAATTGTTATTATTAAAAATGCACAATAACACTACCTTGAATAATGAATTAAGTTTTGTCTTGATAAAAATACTTTATATATTAAATTAAATTGCTTCACATTTGTATATACCAGATGAAGTATAAATATAATAGTTAATCTAATAGATAATATTAAATTAAAAAAAAAATTTAATATTATATAATAAATAAATAATAAATTACTATTATAATTGTTATATATTTCATCTATTAGGGTTTATCAATACTATGTCTTCCTTATTTATATTTTTTTATTTTATTAAGACTATTATAAAAAATAAAAAATATGTATTTGGAAGTAACTTGTATTAAATAAAAAATAATAAAGAAGCTTTTAGAAAAATTATCTATAAAGGTTTTACTAGATCTTCTGAAAATTTAATTAAGGAATTTAAGATTAACTCTGTTGTATACATAGTTGAATGATATAATAATAATATTAAATGTGTTAGTATTAAGTTATATTAATTTTAATTTAATTTTTTTTTTTATCTCTATAGTTATGTTATCATAAAGATAATATATATTATATTTTAATTTAATAAATTTTAAAAATTTAAACTATTACAATTCTTAAATATATATTTAAGATTATCTTTATTCAATCTATTTAATCTCTTATTTTTTAGATAATTTTTTGATTAAAGCTAAAAATCTCTTTTATTCTTTTTCTTTATTGATTTATTTTGCTCTTGCTATAACTAATTCTTATTAATTATATAATAAAGTTAGAAGATAAAGCTTCATATTGTTAAGACAATTATATAATAAGATAACTAGTAAAAGAATATAAAATCTAATATTATTCTATCATATATAAACCAAAATAGTTAATATAGTTCTTTTAAAAAAAACTTAAAAAACAATTATATTTATAATTAAAAATTTAAAATTAGTTTATTTAAAAAAACATTTTATATAATTGTATTAGATATCAAATAAAATTATACAAGTAGCAATAATAAATTCCAAACTTCAGCTTTTTTTACCAAGAAAAAAGCAAAATTTTATAAAGATTTGAATAACTAACTTGATTTTATAGAAAAAAATATACAAAAATAAATACTTAAACCTCAAAGAAAAAAAAATTTGGAAATTTTACTTTAAAACCAAACTTACTAAAAAATAATTTATTATTTACAGATTTTATAAATATAGTCTTACAAATTAAAACTAGAAAACCTGCTATACAAGAAAATTTTGATAAAACAGTTAATAGTCAGAATATAAATTCTAATAAAGAATAAAATAAATAGATAAATAAATAATATAATAATAATAATTAAATAAAAAAAGCTATTAATTATTAATAATATATTCTAATATTTATCAAAACTCTTCTTGATGATCCTTTAGACCAACTTTTCAAAACAAAAATTTTCAACAAAAACAGTAAAACTATACTAGAAAAGAAGAATATAAGACTGATAAGAACTATAAACTAGTATCTATTATTTAGAGATAGTTCTTATATGCTATCTGCTAATAGATTTAGAGCTTATTATTTACCAAGAAGATAGCACTTGTTATTTAGAAGTAGTTCTTATATACTACTTGCTAACAAGTTCAGAGTTTATTACTTATTGAAAAGAATATTAGCAGTGTGCTCAAATCTACTTGTCTTATTATTTTTGACAAAAAATATATGCTCTTTTAAGAAAAATACAAAGTCTATACTCTTTACTATCATCCACTTGTGCTTACAACAAAGTTTTTAAAAAAAGTGAACAAAACAGCTTACTCTTGTTAAAAGATTAGCATTATTTACTTCTTCCAAATTCGGTTGACCTAGTTATAAATGAAAACGAAATTATTTTAGGCTTTAAAACTTGAAATTAAAATTTGAAGACAAAATTGGTTTGACTTACTTTAACTTAAACGACAAAAATTTTTGATACTTTTTTTAAATAGATGAAATTATAAAAAATATAATTATATAAATTAGATTTGCTTTTTCTTATAAAAAATTTTAATTTGCTTTAATAAAGACAAAATAGGCTTTTTTTGAAAACATATTTTCATGGTATCTATAAACCTAGTGGATTGCAATCATGTGTTTTGTTTAGTAACAAACATGTTGCTACTCTATATAACAAGATCTGTTAACTAGTCTATGTTTAAAAATATACCCAGAATTGGTTACATAGTCAGAAAAAAACTAATATATTAAAGCAAAGTCTTATAGCAGAAATATACAGATATTGTATTTGTTATATAATTTTTAAGCCTTGTACAAGTTACAATAGTACTATTAGGTCTTTTTTCTTTTTTGTTTTTTCTTTTTTGAAATCTATGTTTTTTTTTTTTTTTTGTTTTTTTTTTTGTTTTTTTTGTTATGTTTGTTAAGAAACTTTTTATTTTTTCCTCTCTTTTGTCTTATGCCCCTTGAGAAAAAGAAAGAATTAAAAGAGAAATTAGTCCTAATATTTTAGTTCTTTAAGAGCTAGCACATAATCTAAATCATCTGTGAATCAGTACAATGGTCACATCTAGATGCCAATAGATAACCAGGTAAGGTTAGGCTTTTAGTTACAGCTATGTTGTTTTTTTTTTTGGTTTTTTTTTAATATTTGGGGTGTAGCACCAGCCCCAGACTTTATTTAATACTTAAATAATTAACATATGATGGTGCTAATATATATTATAGTGCACTGACCAAAGTACTCCCCTTTTTTGTACCCTCATGCGAAGTACCTGGGTATTTTGTATGGCACTTTTTTTTTGCCAAGAATAATACCCGGGTATTTTATAATTATTGAAGGCAGGATTTTTGTATAAGACCTGGGTATTTTATATTACACAATGCCTAATATATCATTTAATACTGTATAGCAGGTGACAAAGTGGTGGCAGAAAAAATTCGTGATAATATGATCGCTGGATAATTTTTTTATCAGGTCAGAAGTGGTTAGTGATCACATCACAATGAATTTTTTTTGCCACCACTTTGTTACCTTAAAATAATTAAGTAAATTATATTTTTCAAGCATTTCAATTGATTGATTAATAATGATCGTGATGATACTCAAGCATTATAATATTAATAGAATTAAATTTTATTATTAATTATTATTATAAAAGATATGTTGTATTTATTATGTTTATATCAAGATATTAATTATTTGGTTTAAAAGCTTTGAGCATTAACAATAAAATGGATGCTTTTTTGGATCGGGTAGAAACTTGGTTAGCAAGATGCAAAATTAATTTTATTCAATTCGATTATTTAAGCAAAAAAAAATTGCATTTTTTTTTCATTTGCTTACAATTCTACATTAAAATTTCCAGATTTTTAGTTCATTAATTCCAATTTTAAACAACTGTTAACTCTGTGCTTTCTTTATAATAATTACCATAAACTAACCCACTTTTATTTTCATCTATGTCTTTTCTATCTACATATTTACTATCATTTTCACCATTGTTATCACTATTGTTTTCACCATCATTATCACCATTGTTTTTACCATTGTTT